TTCACACATAAGCATCATTATTAAAAACTCACACTCAAAAAAAATTCACACCTAGTTTGTACTTGTTGTCATAGGCTTGCCCTTATTTTCACTGCTTAAGTTCCCCATATTAGAATCTTAGGATCACGATAGGACTTTCTTGGCTTTTAATGTAGGCTCAAAGTCAGGTATGTTACATATAGGTACATTTTAGTTACTTGTTGCCCTCCTTGACATTACCTCTATTTGTCCTACCTCTTTCATTATTTATTATGCCCTACTTTTCTTATTTATTTCTCTTTTGTGGAATTGACTCTTATTTCTTTTTGTTCAACAGTCTTTTTCTCCTTTTTTAATTATATTCAACTGACAATTTTGATTGAGTCACTTCCCTTATTCATTGTCCCTTTTCTTTTCCACATTACTATTTATCATACCCACTTTTAAGCTCGTCACTCATAATAGCCACCCTCAACGTATAACTTTGCAATAAGTCGAGGTACACATTACCCAAGGTTGGGTCAGGGCTAAGACGAGGTCATTTAATGCATTAGCCACCCTCAACTTATGATTTTGTCCTAAGTTGAGGTGCACATGTCTAAGGAGGGACCAGGGCCAAAATATTATACCTAGGGAAGTAGAGTTGGTGAAGAAAAGAAAGGTCTATTATAGGCTCAAATTATTTAGATAAAAAAGTTATAACAATTTCATTCGGATCACTTAACTTTAGGCTAGGTGTTTGCCAAGTTAAACAAGGGCCTATGATCCTTTTATAAATGTCTAACACATATTCCTTTTGTAGGACCAATCGGGCAACTTCTAGCTGGGTACCAACAGTGGAACAATCAAATATCCGCACTCTCTGGAAACCTCATTACACTATTATATTATCGGTCACTTATTTTGAGTGTTAGAGTGAGGATCATGCATTAGGTGCATCTCTATGTCATGCGTAGAGATAACAGTTATCATTCAATTAAACTACATATACAAGCACTTTCTTAGAACGGGAATCAATCAAGTTTATCCATCATGCTTCATTTTGTTTGTTTTCATACATTAAACAAGTTACAACACATACCGATTCAACAGTAGAGTAATTAGTCTCTTGGGGCAAAAGAACACACGAAACAAAACCACCAAGAGAGGATCGTTAGTTGGGCTACTCAGACTTCACCCTAGCAATCACTTTCCTTTTACCTCAGCCCCAACAAAAAAAACATGTAATTGTTCATAATGCATAATAAAATAAATGAATTGTGGTAGGTGAAGCAAACTTGAGGTGCATAAGGCTGAAGATTATTAAGAAATCGGGTCTAGTTTCCCGGAACCCGCACCCTCAGTAGTGTCCTCGTCCTTACTGGTACGGCTGGTACGGTGCCTCTTGATATGTTCACGAGGCTCAGGCGATAGTGCAGTGGGAGCGGTGAATAGTGCAGCAAGCATTGTGTGTCTGTTGTCTCAACTAAAGAAGACTCAGGCTCGGGAGCCCTTACCTCAAGGATGTTGTCCATATCAGCATGCAGACTCGCCATAGCCTCCTAAAGAGTATTCAGATCTATGGTGGGGGCTGGGAAGTCTAGAACTCGGAGCTCGAACGCATCTAGGCGCTGATGGACTACCCGAATCTTAAGCTCTGTGTGCTAGACAACCTTCTTCTTAATACGGTCCTCAGCCTCGACAATAATTTTTTGCTTCCAAGGCTGGATATGGTGCAGCAAGGTGGCTATCTATGACTCTAGCTTCTGGACCATAGAAATCAAGACTAATGTTGTTGATTGTGGGGTAGATCAGGAGGAACTAGGCGCCCCATTAGTGACAGGGGCGGACTTAGCTGGGGTGGTGTCGGTAGGCGCTGAAGTGGCATGATCAGTCCCTTGGTCTTACTTTACCGCATCCGCCAAGTTCTCACCCAGCGATGGCACATCAACTCTGGGCTCACGCCGTGGTGACGCCTCATTAGCCTCACCCTTGATGAGACCGTTATTCACTGTCCCAGTAGGAGTACGAAGGACATCTCTGTGCTAAATGGGAACTCCAGCATCCCTACACAATAGAAAAATCATACATGCAAACGGGTAAGTGGTAAAGGACTTAAAAGCCCTCTCATGGATGAGACAGATCAATAACTTCGCAACATCGATATCCAACCCGGCTACCAGAGCTGCTACCAAGACCGCTCTATCCCAAGTAAGTATATTATCTGCAACCATGGGGTATTTGGGGTGGCTGACTACCAGCAAGAAGAACTTGGCCTCAAAAGTGAGGTTGGCCTTCTTGATAAGGTCTCTGGGGTCCATTACCTATTCCGCTCCCTCACCATCAATGGAGAGTCACTGTGCAATCCACCTCTTGGTGGACTGTCTCAGTTCTCTGCTATGCTGAAAATGGACACTCTTGACCACGTCACACCTGTAGTCGAACTCTAGGGTGAGGGGAACCCACGCAGCATTAGTGGATCCACCGTATATGAAGCGGCGGATGGCAAGAGAAGAAATGTCAACCCGGCAGCCTCGAAGGCGAGCGTTTGTGAATGGGCGGTGTTTAGCATGGTTCGCCCTCCTATCCGAAGCACCTTGGCGATCCACTACGTATGAGTTGTAGAACTCTCGCACAATATCCTTACTGTAAGACCCCACACTTCTCGCCATCCACTCGAGCCGGTGGTGGGTACACAAATTATACACCGTTGGGACTGTGTGTAAGATCTTTGTAAGAACCCGCCCCTCAACTGTCAACGTTCAAGTCATCAGCCCCTTATCATTCAGCAACTTGCCGTCCATGTATATCTAGTACAAGAAATCTACGCAGCACCGGTTAGGCTCATAGAAACTGGTGCAAGGACATCATGTTGGGTGGCAGAGTAGACTCCGAACTCTAGGCATCATCAAACGAGGCATTATGGGCAGGCCCGACTGGGAGAGTGGTTCCCTTTGATTCGGAACAGAGGTTGTGGCCTCATTTGACCCTGTAGAGTGGGCCGACTCTAAACTGGATGCCTTCTCGGAGACAGATGCTCCCTTAGAACCCAAGGCAGAGCCAAAAAGTGTGCCGATCAGTGTGCACCTTCTTGGGGGTGACCCGAGTGGCTGTAGTAGCTTATGTCGGGGTTTGGGTACCCAGGGACACGTATTCTGGATCACGCTCATGATAAGATTAGCCAATCATCTACCAGGATGGTGCCATGGACTTGTACCGTCCCTTGGAATAGACAATAAACATAATCGATACAAAACCTAAACACACAGGATACAGTTTTCTTACAAAATTTAAGAAGTGGGAGATGGGCACTATCGTCGGCCCATCGATGAAATGACGGTCCATCGATTGTCTCCGTCGATTGACACTTAGAAAATTTTGAGAAGTCTACTTTGTACATAACATTCAGTTAGAAACAACGAACGTGCAGAATGGTCTGTCAATAAATAGACGGACCATAGTCCACTTCCATCGTCTGACATTTATAATTTAGATTTTTTCAGAGAACAAGGTTTCAGTTAGAAACGACCGATGTGTAGAATGGTCTGTCAATGAATTGACGGACCGTAGTCCATTTCCGTCGCTCCATAGTTAAGCAGATTTAAGGTTTAGCCATCAACGGTCCATCGATCAACCGATGGTCCGTAATCGGGGTCTCGTTCTATTGCTCAGAGACAGGTTTTTTTAGGATCTTGTTTTACCCTATAAATGGTCAACTTCAAGCACACACCAGTACACCCAACAAGTAATAACAAGAAAAAGGCCAATTGGTGATTCCTAGGGCTTTGATTTTTCAAATTTCGATCATGGATTAAAAGATTATATCAAGCCCTAGTTCAGAAAAACAAGAAGCAAATAGAATGTACATAGATTCCACTCCCAAACAATTCACTCTATATCATTCTAAGGGACATATAACCCAATTTGCAACAAGTCTAACATGTAAAGTATTCTTAAGGCAAGACCCATAGACAATCTATTCATTTCCATAAGCAAATCAACAAGAATTCATTGAGAAAAGGAGAATGAAATACCTGAAAGTTGTAGTGGAGTGAATGAGTGGGTGATCTTGCAACAACCAACATACGTGTCGTGCCGCCTACAAACACCGACCAGAGAAACTATGAAGTTTTGAGTAGAAACTGGGGATTATGGGTTTTTGGGATTTTGGGAGAGTTTGAGTGATTTGAAAGAGAATGGAGTGAATTTAATGTGGGATTTAATATAGAAAAAGGGGAATAAGGGAAGGGAAACAGTTAGAAAAAGAATTCGAAAAGGTGTGGGGGGTAACTGAATGGGTGTTTTTTTATATAGTCGGTCGGGTGGGGTCGGGTCACTATTTTTTATGAATTGACGATACCCCATCGCCGGTCCGTCAACTTATTCGTAGATTGTGACCTAACTTAGACAAACCTTTAAAACATACCTGGGATCTATGGGCACCATCATGGGCCCGTCATGGAACGACGACCCTTCGGTTGGTCCGTAGATTTGTGCCCCATACCAATTTCTACAAAATTCTTGTGGTTTGGTCCCTGCATATTTAGCACTAATTAAGACATTCTTTTTGTGTTTTTTGGACACTTTTTAGATACGACCTCTAAACTACTCTCTAGCCAATAGACTAAAAAAATAAAGAATATTTACACATGACATTGATTAAAACAAAACAAAACAAAAGAAAGCAAGTATTCCTACAAAGAAAAGAATAACCTATTGTTAACGTTGCGACACGATGCAAAACCTTTGATTACAGAGACTTCATAAAGGTGATATGCCTCAACCACTTCATGGGCACTCTCTGCAAGCCCTAGGTAGATCTTGATTGTTTGCCCATTTACCGTGAACCTTGCACCCTCCTTGTTCTCCAACTCAACCGCTCCATGTGGTAACACTTTATTAACCACGAATGGACCAGTTCATTTGGACTTGAGTTTGCCTGAAAAAAAGAGCAACCTAGAGTTAAATAGAAGCACCAAATCCCCAACTACAAATTTGCGCTTCTCAATATTTTTGTCATGATACTTCTTTATTTTTTCTTTCTAGAGGGCTGAACTTTCATATGCTTTGAGGCGAAACTCATCAAGCTCATTAAACCGATTAAGTCTCTGTTCCACTGCTTCATTCCAATCCATCATCAATTTCTTCATCGCCCACATGGCCTTGTGCTCTGACTCAACCGGTAAGTGACAAGTATTCCCATATACAAGTTTGTATGTAAACATACCTATGCGAGTCTTGTATGCAGTTCGATTAGCCCAAAAGGAATCATCAAGCCTCCTTGACCAATTCGTTCTATTAGCCACCATTTTTGACATGATCTGCTTAGTTTCTCTGTTGGACACCTCAACTTGCCCACTAGTTTGTGGAAGGTATAGGGTGGTTACATTGTGGCGAACCCCATATTTCTCTAATAGCCCTTTGAAAAACCTGTTGCAAAAGTGGAACCCCCCATCACTAACAATGGTCCTAAGTGTGCCAAATCTGGAAAAGATGTTCTTTTTTCAAGAACACAATGAAACTCTTCTTTTCATTGTTGGCAAGTGTGCTATTGGTTCCACCCATTTTGAAACATAATCCACCTCCACAAGAATATATTTTATCCAATGAGAACTCAAAAATAGGACCATAAAATCAATGTCATATACATCAAACAACTCAATTACTAGAATGGGATTCAAAGGGAGCTCTTGCCTCCTCAAAATACCTCAATATCTTTGGCAGCTATCACATGACTTGGCGAACTCATGAGCATCATGGTGGATAGTTGGCCAATAGTACCCACACTACAAAAGCTTATGGGTAGTCCGAATACCACTATGATACCCACCCACATGCGGGGAATGACATGCCTCTAAAAAACTTAGTATCTCTACTTCTGGCACACAACGGCGAATAAGCCCATCAGCACAAATCCGGTATAAATAAGGCTCATCCCAAGAGAACTTTTTTATATCATGCATGAAATTTTTCCTCAAAAGGAAGGACAAGTCCGATGGGATTATATCACTACCTAGATAATCCGCAAAATCAGCAAACCATGGAATCATGTCATGAGAAGCGGCCAATACATGCTCATCGGGGAAGGTATCATCAATTTCAGCCTTTTCATCCAACTCTCACATAGATTCATCCTCTAATTTTTCCAAGTGATCGGCAACTTGATTTTTCTATCTTTCACCTTAAAGTCAAACTCTTGCAATAGTAACACTCATCTAATCAACCTTGGTTTTGTGTCCTTCTTTTCCATCAAATATCTCAATGTGTAGTGACCAGTATGCGCTATAACTCTTGTGCGAAGAAAATAGGAGCGAAATTTTTTGAAAATGAATACCACCGCAAGGAGCTCTTGTTCAGTCATAGTGTAGTTATTTTGTGCTTCATTTAGGGCTTTACTTGCATAATAGATGGGGTGAAGGATTGTATCCCTTCTTTTTACCAATACCACACAAAGAACAACCCCACTAACATCACACGTCACCTAAAATGGATTACTCCAATATGGGGAAATAATTATGGGCGCAGACACCAACTTCACCTTCAACTCTCCAAATGCCTTCAAACAGGATTCATTAAAACAGAACTTACATTCCTTCTCAAGTAACTTTAACAGAGGATGTTCAATTTTTGAGAGATCCTTAATAAAACTTTACAAATATGGGTGGAGGAAGTCTCTCTATAACCTTAAATTTGGCTCGATCAATCTCTATCCCCTTCTTTTAGATGTGATGGCCCAATACAATACCCTCTTTCACCATGAAGTGACATTTTTCCAAATATAGCACAAGGTTGCAATCTTCACATCTTTTGAGAACCTTGGCCAAGTTACTAGACTAACGATCAGAAGAGTCACCAACAAATGAAAAGTCATCCATAAACACCTCAATAGTGTCCTCCACCAAATTGGAGAATATCGACATCATAAATCTCTGAAAAGTAGCAGGTGCATTATACAACCCAAAAGGCATCCTCTTGAATTCGAATGTCCCATAAAGTCAAGTAAAGGTGGTCTTCTCTTGATCCTCCGGTTCAATAGATATTTGATTGTAACCCGAATAACCATCAAGAAAACAGTACCATCCTTTTCCTGCGAGCGTATCTAACATATGATCCATGAAAAGCATAGGAAAATGGTCCTTCTCACTCCATGCATTCAACTTCCGATAATCCATACATACTCTACATTCGGTCAACGGCCTCATTAAAACAAGCTCATTCTTCTTATTTGGGACCACTATCATTTTCCCCTTAAGCCTTAAGCTCTAATTTTGGGGCCTCTTCAATAGATGGGTTCCCTAGTTGAGACTTGCGATGCTTCATATCTAACTCCAATTTCTTTGGTTTAAACAAAAATTCACCTCAAAAAAGTGCCGCAACCAACGATCAATACTCTTCAATACCATCACTCTCAAAATTCATGAGCACTGCCGCTAGTGCCTCAACACCAAGGCGCTCTTTGATTTGTACCTTATACGTACTCTCAACCCTGTAGGATATAGCAAATATCGTTTTGAGCTCACCACTCTGCCTCATGGACCTACAAATTTTGAAAGTTGCTTCTTCATTGTTTAACCTTAACTTCATCTGCCCTTTTTCAATTTTAATCAAGACGCGACCGGTAGCAAGAAATGGCCTCCCAAGAATAATATGCACCTCAAAATCCACTTCACAATCAAGAATCACAAAATCGGCTGAAAATATAAATGACTCCACCTTCACTAACACATCGTGGAGTATCACAATCGGCTTTTTTACTGTTCGATCGACCATTAGTAACCGCATCGCAGTAGGTTTTGGGTCACCAAAGCCCATGTTCTTGTATATAGAGAGGGGCATGATATTTATGCATGCATCAAGATTACATAGTGCTTTAGCAAAGTGTAACAACCCGAATGGCCCGGATCTTCTTTCTTCTGCATAAGAGACCTTGTAGAAATAGCCATACAATGTTGCATTATGTCATTATCCTCAAAACCTATAGATCTGTTATTAGTAACCATATCTTTCATAAACTTCGCATAATCGTGCATTTGTTCAATATATTCTATCAATGGGACAGTGATGGAAAGTTGTTTCAACATAGTAATAAAATGCCGATATTTACCATCCTCAGTATTCTTCACCAATCTTTGCGGGAATGGTGGTGGTCTAGGAATGGGGATCACCTTTTGGGGTATCTCTGCTTCTTTCACTGCTTTGTATACCAACTCACCACTAACTTTCACTACCTCATCATCTTTTCTCACGTCATCTTCCACACCAGCCGGCATAGGTTGATCAATGGTTTGCTTACCCCCTCGAGTAGCGACTGCCATGCAATGTCCATCATTTTTCTAATTTTGGATAGTATTTCTAGGAAGAGTACCCAGTTGGCGTGGGTTCACAGTAGTAGACAATTGGTCATTTTCAACTCAAGGTACTTTATTGAGACTGCATGTACATCCACCTTTTGCCTAATATTGGCCAAATCATCTCTCAACTCCTTGGCGTGCTCTTCACTATCATCAAAACTTCTAATCATCTTTTGCAATTTTGAGGTGGAACATATGGCCCACTTTGATTATTTCAGTTACCATAATTACCCCTCTTGAAGTTATTATCGCGGTTGTAGTTTTCATATTGAACATAATGGCCCTCTCAATTATAATTCCCAAAGTTCTAGCCTTGATTTCCTTGAACTTGTCGCCAATTTTCCTTATTGAAGACTTGAGCATTCAGTTGGAAACCCCCCGTCTGCTCATTCACTGCATAAGAATCCTCTTCATATTAGTAGTCATCTGTTGGCGGTGGTGGTTTAGTAAAATAATTCACCGCATTTACTTTCTCTGCACCTCCAGCGATATGTTTCAATACCAACCCGAGTTTAGTTCTCATTTGAGCCATCTCTTCACGAATCTCATCTAAGGACAGATTGTGTGTAGCTTGCACTACACAGGTGTTTCTCCTAGTGTTTGACTTCCTAATAATCCAAGCCTTATTATTTCAAGAGATTTTCTCCAACTTCTCAGCTATCTCTGCATATGTGCACTCACCATAACAACCACCCTAAATAGTATAAAGTATTGCCTTATTATTATCATTTTTCCATAGATAGAATTACTCTTTCAACGACTCATCATCAATGCGGTGGTTTGGGACACTTCTCATAAATGAGATGAACCTATCCTATGACATACTCACTGACTCTCCAGGCAATGCCACAAAGTTGTTCACTCTATATTTGTGGTTGAGCTTTTTAGACACCGGGTAATACTGTTCTAAGAACACATACCTCAATTGCTCCCAAATATAGATCAAATTATAGGGCAACTCAGTGAACCGAATTGCGGCCTCTCTCGTCAGTGAGAGGGAACACTCTTAACTTGATGACTTCCATGTCTAAGTCTTGCCTCCCTACATAAATCTTTCACACAGACCTCAGTTTGGCGATGTGAGCATGTGGATCCTCAGATGGTAGCCTCGAAAACAAACCTCTGGCAGTAAGAATATGCATCAAGCTACTAGTTACCACGAATGGATGACCATGTCGTAGAAAAGGTAGTATAATACGCCCATCAAAGTTAGTGATGTTTATGTTGCCTCTATAGAACTCTTGAGGGTGTAGGATGGGAGGTTGCCTTTTTAAAGCACCATCACCAGGGTACCCGACAATCACTTGGTTGTGAGCATCAACCGGCGGTGAAAGTTTACTCTTGATCCCATCCCTGAATCCTTAGTCCGACACTTAAAGAATTTAACCCTGTACCTTGGTCTGGATAAGTAAGTCTAAGTTACTAAACCTTACCTTTACTTCATATTAAGCATCAGATTCGATGTTTGTTTTAGTTATTACTTCGTGTCAATCGAAACTAGCCTATTAGATAGAATCCATTAAATCTATGCCGATAATTCTTTTCCTATTAACTACCCCCTTTGTCAGGAAAGTAGCAATGAGGCGAGTTCTAACGCGTGCACTAGTTAACAAAACTTCTAGATGAAAGAATTATCAATGCATGTAATAACCTATTTGAGAATTGTTATTTAGCTAAGATTTTTTTGTTAATCACCCATGGTTTCCACAACCCTAGTTGTGGATTTAGTTAATCATGCTTAGAAGAACACAATTCATAATTGATAAATAATAAATCATGAACTTACTTTGACAAATTGGAAGAAAATCCAGAAATTCAACTTGAAATCACAAAATTATCTTGAACAGCAAATCCAAAAATTTTAATTAATTGCAAAAATAAATCTCCAAGAACAAAAGTATGAAATTAATAAAAGAAATTAACACAAAAAAATAAGATTTGTCATTCTATTTATATTAAAAAGAAACCTTAGTTGAAAAGGATTCAAAATAAGGAAAGTTTGTCCAAAACTCAGCTTCAATTGACAACCCCTACAGACGGTTCATCAATTTTCCATCGGTCCATACTTAGAATCTTTTCAAAGCCTGCACTTTGCATTAATCCAATTGACGGACCAACAACATGGTCCGTAGATTCATCTATGGTCCGTCAATGCTTCTCGTCATTTCATACTTTGCTTTTTCTTCAAAACTGGTATTAGGACATTTTTTGATCACATCAAAGATTTTCCAGGACGGTCCGTCGATCAGTCGACAGACTGTCGATACTTCTGTATCCCCAAACTTAGTCGGAATTCCTTGAGTTGCTTCCTGATGCATGAGCCTTTAATCGACGCTCACCACGTACGGTCCACCAATGGCCTCGTGGGTCACTTCTGTGCTGATTCTTCACAACATTTTGCATTTTTGTTTAGGGCAACTTTTATGTAAAAAAAGATAAACCACATCAAAAATACTACAAAAGACTCTATACACACCAGTCTTAAAGAAAAAAACATTGAAAATACTGTGAAACTATGGTACATCACTAGGTCTTTGCATCCCTATAGACCTGAAATTGACAATCTACGCACCATCAGTTTTTCTCATCAGGAGTTGGTGCAGGGACATCATCATAGGGTGCCGAAAGAGATGCCGAACTATGAGCCTCATAAGCCGAGGCTTGGCAGGAAGCTACCTCTAGATGAGTGGCTCTAGATGATTCAGAACCGGAGGTAGTGGCCTCATTAGACCCCGTAGAGTGGGCCGACTTTTAACCTGATGCCTCTTCGAAGCCAGATTCTCCTTAAAAAAATTGAGGCAAACCCGGATGGTGTTCCAGTCAGTGTGCGCTCCTCATCAGATTAAAAGGTAGAGACTATGCCAAAAACCACCATCTTGGGTACCCCGAGTGGCTCGTGTAGCTAGTGTAGGGGTATGGGTGCTTGGAGGAACATATTCAGGATCTCTCTCATTGTCGAAAGTGCTAATCATCTGACAGGATGGTGCTACAGACTTGAACTTGCCCCTGGAATAAATGATGTCTTCTTTGGGGGACAATTGTACGTGTAACACACTTGCTAGTCTCATAACAATCATACTACACACCTTAAACAAATAATCCTATAAAAAGGAAACACAAAGCAAATTCCAGTTTAGATTGTAGTATTGGTTGACGGACACTATCAAAGGCCCATCAATGAATCGACAGTCTGCCGATAGTGTACGTCGTTGGACACTTTGAAAAATTTTAGATTTTTCATTCTACAGACCACTCACTTGGAAATGATGGATGTGCATAATGGCCCGTCGAACAATCGACAAACTGTAGTCCACTTCCATCGTCTAACACTTAGAATAATTTTTAAACTCTTTCAAAATAGGGTCTCAATTAGAAATGACGGACGTGCAGAATGGTCCATCGATCAATCGACGGGCCGTAGTTCACTTCCGTCATTTTAAAGTTTAACATTTTTAAATTTGCCCAATGAGATGGACCTCATCGACTGCCCGTTGATCAAACGACTATCCATAGACGGGGTCTCGTGTTGTTGACCTGAGAAAAATTTCATTCCTTGTTTATATCACCAAATTTCGACACCTTTGAGACCCTCATTAGTTTACCCAATACATATCAACAATTTAAAAACATTTCTTCATCCTTAGTGTTTCGATTTTGAGTTGCATTAGAAAAAGGCCATGTGGTTATGATGATTTTGAGTGTAATCTTTTTTTATATATTTTTGATGGTTGGGCTACTAGTCTTGAGTCTATTCCTTCCTTTTCAAGAATTTTAGTGTCATTCGGGGACGAATGTTCCTAAGGAGGGGATAATGTAATACTCCAAAAGTTTAAAGCCTAATCTAGAGCCTAACATGAGATTTTATGAGTTTTAACACTGTTTATAAGTCAATTATAATGTATTTGAGTCATTTAGGAAGTTTTAGAATCAAAACGTCAAGGAACGCCCATGACGTCCGAAATCTAGTTCAAGAGGGGCTAGCATGTCTTAGCCTATTTGAATAAGTTTTAAGAGTTGGGAACTGTTATAATTGGTTTTAAGGTGTCTAATACGTATTAGAGTTATTTTATAGTCAAAACATCCGGTTGCGAGTCCCCAAGGACCAACCAAGGGCCCTTGAGGAGCACCCTTGCAACTTGGCAAAAAGCCGCCAAAAAGCAGTGTCCATAGATGAGTTGCAGCGATGATCCATTGGTGAATTGAAGGGGTGTCGATGAAAACTTAGCCAAAATTTTGAAGGGGTTGTTTTGGAAACTCTCTGACTAAAACGACGGACCAACAGGATGGTTGGTCCCTTAGCCGTTGATTGACAAACAAGGCATGGACGTGGTCTCGTCTGTCAAAGAGACTATTTTGCTGCACATTTTAAGGTAAGTCAAATTAATTAATTAGGTGGTTAGTTAATTTGTTAGGGGTTAAGGTAGGTCTAATAAATATAGTTAATGACCGATATAAAGACCCTAACCTAACTAAACTAACCTAACCCTCATAATTCCCAAAACCCTATTGCTCTTTCTTCTCTCTTCTTTCTCTCTCCCAAAGAAACCTCATTGAAGACCAACAAAATATGGGTTCTAGGTATTATAAGTATAAATTTTCTCCATCAAACTTCATCAATTATTAAGGTATGGGACTTCTTTCACCTTTGGGATCTCTTTCCTCAAAGGGCTCCTCCAAATTGATTTCAAAGGTATGAAATTCAAGTGGGTTTCTTCCAATCCAAAATTGATCTTTTGAATTGTTTTGTTTATGGTTTATTTTGGTTACTATTAGTATATTAACATGTATAATGGTTAAATTATACTAATTGTTGATGATGTGACCTAGTTTGTGGAAGATGATTTTTTCCCATTAACCCTAGGTTGTGATCTTGAATTAAATTGTATAAGTATTGCCTCAATTGGCTTTGGTAGTGTGTAAATTACTACACTATGTTTTTATTATGCTAATTATGAGTATATGTG